GGCCATCCCCCCTGGAGGGTGATTTCTCGCTTTCTGTGTCTGTATTTCTGTCTGTCTGGCGAGCAACACGCACCCTATAGCAAAAACCTCTTCAAAAGAAAAAAAATAAAAAAAGAAGTCTGTATATAATGCAAATTGCGGAATCTTGACCTAAAGTATAAAGCCTGAGACCTCCATCATGTCATGTTAGATATTAACGGTGCGATACTGCCCTCTTCACCACCATACTCCACCATGACTTCGCTTGCATTTTATCCTTTGACAAAATATAAGGCTGCTTACAATTCCTCAACACACAGCACGGTGTTTTATCCACTCTTATTTTTGTGTGTTCTGTTGCCTCTTCTTGTAATGTCTTTCTCTGGCTTCCTCATCACCCAGCTTCATTTTCTACTCAAGGTCTCAGTTCAGAGACATTTTTTCTTTTCTGAAAGTCATCTATGAAGACCAGAAGATCACTCCCACTCCAATTAGGACCACCACCAAACCAAAGAAATCAGCAAAGTAGGTCACAACAGGGCTATCTTTCTTTGCTTGTCTGTCTCCCAACAAACCATAAATTCCATGAGGTCAGGAACAGCTTATGCTCCATTTTTCAGTCTCCAGATTTGGGCACAGTGGCAAACTAAATGTTAAGTGACCATCTGCTTACATGAGATGGAAAAGTTTCAACCATAGTTCCTACTACCAGGGAAAGTTTGAAGGTGCTGCATGCGTTTTGATTTACAACAGGGACCTTCCATAAATTCATGGAAAATAGACTTCATGTAAAATCTCTGAATGAATTTCAAAAAATGCTTTTACCAAAATAAACTTGTGTTTTAGTTCTATTTTCCATGAACCTTTGAAGTCCCCTCATAATTCTTAAACAGTTAACCAAATTGCCACATATGGGACTTTAATATCAGAAACTTGTCCCTTAAGCAATGAGCAAGCTCAGACAAGTGTCCCTTTCTTTAAAATGACTTACAAGTTCTCTTTGATGCTTTTTCTTTTCTTCTTTTAGAGATTTTTGACTGAGGGCATACTGGAGAGAGAGAGAGAGAGACAGTGAGAGAAAAAGTGAGGAATAAATCCCCTGGGGGATGGCCACGCCTTAACCCTTCTCCTGCGACCTTGCGCATACACGCACCTGTGCCGAGTCTCAAGCTATTGGGTCTGGGACTAGAACTGCAGTCATCACAGAAGGAGTCCCCTGAGACTCTTTTATGAGAAAAATTTATAAACTTAAAAATTTAGAATGATCTCATGACCTTAAAAATTGTATTTCAGGGGCCAGCAAATGGCGTAGTAGTTACATCACTGGACTCATGTGATGTAACCACGGCAGACCATGGTTCAAATCCTAGACCTGGTGACTTGACACACACCAGGCATGTGTTCATGCATGCCCGAATTCCTGAGAGCAGACTGAATGAGTAGGGACTGTGTCATGGCCATCCCCCCTAGGGGTGATTTCTTGTTTTCTGCCTCTCTGTCTCTCTCTGTCTGTCTGGTGAGCGCACGCGCCCTATAGCAAAAACCTCTCCAAAAAAAAAAAAAATCTATTAAAAAAAATTGCTTTTGGGGGGACAGCAGGTAGCATAATGGCTATATCGCTAGACTCCCACATAGTCGACCACGGTTTGCATCCCAGACCCAGGGGCTTAAAACTCACGCCAGGCACGTGTGCATGCGTGCCCAAGATCCCAAGAGGAAAATGGAGGAGCAGGGATTGCGGCATGGCCATCCCCCCTAGGGGTGATTTCTTGTTTTCTGCCTCTCTGTCTCTCTCTGTCTGTCTGGTGAGCGCACGCGCCCTATAGCAAAAACCTCTCCAAAAAAAAAAAATTGTAGTATTGTTTTACTAGAATATCTTGTGTACACATAGAAATCTAATGGAATAAGGGAATAGAAGGATAGAATGTCTTATAGAATATGGAATATTTTAGATGACTTCAAAAACCAAAATAAGGATTCAGATTTTATTTCCTACATATTCAGTAGTACCTGGTTTATGAGAAATGTACATAACATAGAGATGTCTTAAGAGATGAACCACTCCTTTCAGACAAAAATAGCCTAGTTTTCTTTTTTTTTTCCTGTTTTTTTTTGAGGGGAGTAGAAATGGTTTTATTATCAACATGGCACTTAAGTCAATGAAATCTTGTCAAGTAGATGGTGACTTGGGTTTTGTTTCTGCATCTGTCCCTCGGCGGATGAAGATACCATCTTCAGCAGGCTCAGTGTCATCCATCTCATACATATACAATGATGCTATTCAGGTGCAGTGCCGTCATTACTGAAGACAAAGGGTGCGACGCTGGTGGGGTATTGATGGAACTGGCGCTGTCGCTTTTTTTTAAAGTTAATTTACTTTTTTAATTGTTTATATACATTCAACCATATTGTTCAGCTTACAAAGTGAACATTTCAATATGTGAACATTTCTCCCCAGTCCAGTTGATCAAAATATCTTCAACCGATAATAGCACAGCTCCCCATCCTATCAATGCTCTGCCTCCTTCTTTACCAAGCATAGTGAGATCAGAGTTCTGTTGATTCACACTTATCAAATGACAGATAATCTAGACATTCCTATTTGGATCTTGGAAGTCATGTACTTATATATATGTATATCCTGGATTCTCGGTACTTTTAATATTTTAGAAATATAAAATCGCTTCATTTTCTAGATTTCTCTTTTGCTAATAATTAACTGCTGTCATTTTTTAATAGTTTAAAATAAAGCACTGTTTTCTCCACCAATGAGTGGTTTCACATTTACTCTACTTAAATGGTCAGATCTCACATTTATTCTAGTTAAATTATCAGATCAGATTCTTTGTTTTTTTTCAGAGTTACTTAATTCAGTTTAGTTGTTATCTAAAAACAACTTCACATATTTTAGATGAATTCTTTTGTTATATTTAAAAGTTATGCTATATTTCACTTGGTATTATTGGGTTGTCAAAAAGTCATGACACATTTTTACATAGAAAAACAAAAATACGTGATGATTTACAGCCCAATATTATAATAACTTCTCAAGTTCTTTGTAAGATAGGGGTGCTAACTTGTTATATGGAGAAAGAAAGATTATAAATTATAGCAATAAAAATAAGATCTATCATTAAAATTTGCCTGGAATAATTTATTACTATAGTCAAATTAAAACTTAACATAGATAGAATTACCAAGAACAGAAATTTTATAGTTTCTGACCTGCCAGTGGGGGATTACCTAAAATCCATGCTGTAAGTCTCATAATATATTAGCTGTGCTTAGGTAAGAAAAGGTACTTAATGAAATCATTTCTGATGTAAGGCCATTGTATATGTTTGGGATATTCATAGTATAAGATTATTACCCCCGGGACCAGCAGTTAGCATAATGGCTATGTCGCTGGACTCCCACGTAGTAGACCACGGTTCGAGTCACAGACCCGGTGGCTTAAACTCATGCCGGGCATGTGTGCATATGTGCCCAGAATTCCGAGAGGAGAATGGAGGAGAAGGGATTGCAGCATGGCCATCCCCCCTGAGGGGTGATTTCTCGCTTTCTGTCTTTCTGTCTCTTTCTGTCTGGCAAGCACACGTGCCCTACATCAAAAACCTCTCCAAAAAAAAGATTATTACCCCCATTTCTCTTTATAAATGACTCTCTATATGCCTTTACAAAATTGAAATTCTTTAAAAGCCCATATACTCAAGCTTGTTAGATTTCCTAAGTCACTAAATAACCTTTTTGTTTTGATCCTTATTTTATAAACTTGGTCTAAAATTCATGAAAGCATACTATTTCTTCTTGGTGAGTACACAACTCAAGTTTAGGGCTTATTTTTAATGATAATCTAAGACTTTAAAAGGTGAAGTATTTTAAGAACAAATAGAGAAGCATGACATCAGTGAGACACAGATATGCTTTATAAACTGTTGATGATGACGTGTATAGTATTCTCAACTGGACTGGTCTGAGAAGTATTTCATGTTGGAAAAAGTCTACAACAAAATGATAAATAGTGATTGAATGTTTAAAAAATAACTGGAATGATAATAGTAATCTGGAAAAAATAATGTAAAGCTATTGGACGATGGGGATTTTAATGTCTATGTATTGACTGATATGCATGATATTCCTTCTGGAAAAAGAAATGTAATACACTGTAAAGTTATATGTGATTCAATGTAACATAAATAATATTGTGATAATAAATAAATTAAAAATAAATGCTAAAAAGGTGAAGTATTTTAGTTTTTTGAAAGTTTTATTAAGTACTTCTTAGTGACTAACAACCTGGCAACACTTGCATAGCAATATTCTAAACATTTACCTGAAGCATTTTTCTTTCATGAATTCTCTAAACGTGATGGGACAGTTTGAATTAAAGTTTGTCTCTCCTAAAATATAAAATAATCTCTCAACTTTTTACGGAAAAAAAAAGACTTCTGTGTGTTTATTTTAATCTCATTTGCTCTTTTTCCCCCCAACAATGAAATAGATTGCAGGTGGAAAATTTCTGCTTAATTAGAGATGTGAATGAGTTGAGTTTAATTTATCAAGGATTAATTATAAATTAAATATATGTAAATTAAATATGACCACAGATCATAGTAGACTGACTCTACTCATTACAGCTAATTCTCTAGATTTGAAAACTGAATTACTCATATATCAAATTTAATTGTATGATTTTCTAACAATAGCCACCTAATTTACTTCTGAGGTATATTACGTTTCAGAGAAAATAGTAGCCATTCCTCAGTATCTCAGTGACAATCTTCATTATTTTTCAGTTAAAATCATATTTATCAAGAAATACGTGTGAGGTTTCCTTGAGCCAAATATACTTCATAGTAGCAGTTTATATGCATTCATTGAAATTTAAGTGTGTTTTTCATACATCAAAATTATGTGATTCCTTTTTAATAGATCTTATTGTATAATTACCTTAATATCTTTACAGGTTGCCAGAATAATGACACTTTCATATAGTGTGTAATTTTCTTTTCTATTTCTAGGTTCTCTCTTTAGGAGCAGATGTCCTGCCAGAATATAAACTGCAGACGCCACGCATCAACAAGTTTACGATATTGCACTACAGCCCTTTCAAGGCAGTCTGGGATTGGCTTATCCTGCTTTTGGTCATATACACTGCTATATTCACCCCCTACTCTGCAGCCTTTCTCCTCAATGACAGAGAAGAACAGAAAAGACGAGAATGTGGCTATTCTTGTAGTCCTCTGAATGTGGTAGATTTGATTGTGGATATCATGTTTATCATAGATATTCTGATAAACTTCAGAACAACATATGTTAATCAGAATGAAGAAGTGGTAAGTGATCCTGCCAAAATAGCAATACACTACTTCAAAGGCTGGTTCCTGATTGACATGGTTGCAGCAATTCCTTTTGACTTGCTGATTTTTGGATCAGGTTCTGATGAGGTAAGAGCTTCATAAAATCTATTTTCTGAAAGTTTGCAATTTTAAAAGTGAATCTCTTTTAATGCAGAAGAAAAGTGGTTGCCTTATAAGCTTTCTATATCTCACAGATGAAGATCATTTTCAATTGGAAATGCTATAAAATTAAATGTTATATTTTTGCCATTGCAGATAATTCAAATTGTACTTTTGCTAAGAGATGCAAAAGATGCCCCATCCTTTAATCAACAAATAGAACTGAAATAAGTGGTGAACATAGCATATTATGAGGATATGTAATCTCCATGTATTCAATTCATGATGATAAAACTGCCAACATTAAGGATGATTTTTTTCCTTAACTTTATTATTATGATTTAAGACAACAGAGGCTTATTTTTGTTTAAATTGTATAGAAGAGGGCATCCTTCTTCATCTGAAATGCCTGTTCAAAACCCTTTCTCATAAATACTATTCGTGTTCAAAAGGTTCCCAATACCTTATAAAGTTGGAAACTTTAAGGAAATATAAGTTTACATAAAGTAATTTTTGATAAAAAATGCATAACTTTAATTAGATTATCAAAGGGCTCTTTGATAAAAAGAAGTTAAATTCTAATTAATTACCTCTAATTTTTGTTGTATATACAGCTCCTGGATTCTATAATAAGATTTACAGAAAGTGTAAATGTCATTCTAAGGGAGTATGTTGAGAGAGATAACCTCAAAGAGCTGAATTTTTACAATTCAATGTCTTTTTCTAAGAACCCCTCACCAT